TCTCTGACCCTGCCTGTCCTCCGTCTGTCGGGGGTGCTCCTGCCCTTGGCAGTGACGTCCTGGAGGACCGCCAGTTCGAGCTTGCTTTCCTGTCCGAGGCTGCTCCCCATCTCTGTTCCATGCTGCTAGTCCCTGAGGGTGACCCAGACGCTTTCGACATCCCGACCCCTCGCACTTACGCTGAGGCGACCTCGGGACCTTGGGCCTCGCAATGGATAGCTGCCATGGAGCAGGAGATGGCATCTTGGAGATCCACCGGCACCTTCGTCGACGCAGTTCCCCCGCCTGGGGTGAACGTAGTCGATGGCCGCTGGCTCTTCAAGGTGAAGCGCCCTCCTGGAGAGCCGCCTGTGTTCAAGGCGCGCTACGTGGCTAGAGGCTTCAGTCAGCGTGAGGGGGTGGACTTCTTCCAGACCTTCGCTCCGACCCCGAAGATGACTACTCTTCGGGTTCTGCTACACCTAGCTGCTCAGCGCGACTACGAGATTCACTCTCTCGACTTCTCCACTGCCTTCCTTCAGGGCAGCCTACACGAGCAGGTCTACCCGCGTCGCCCTCCGGGCTTTACTGGCACCTTCCCTCCTGGGACCCAGTGGCTCCTGCGGCGCCCTGTCTACGGCCTGCACCAGGCTCCCCGTGAGTGGCACGACACTCTCCGTGCTACGCTTGCTGACCTGCAGTTCTTTCCGTCTTCCGCAGACCCCTCACTCTTCGTTCGTGCTGGCCAGACTCCGTTCTACATCCTTGTTTACGTCGACGACCTGGTCTTTGCCACAGCAGACAGGGATGCACTAGCCTTCGTGAAGGCAGAGCTGCTGAAGAGACACACGTGCACTGACCTTGGAGAACTGCGCCGTTACCTTGGCCTACAGATCTCCAGGGACAGAGCAGCGCGCACCATCACCCTGACTCAGTCACACTTGGTGCGCCAGGTCCTTCAGAGGTTCAGCCTTCATTTCTCCTCTGCACAGCCCACCCCTCTGCCTCTAGCCCACAGACTCTCCGCTCCAGTGTCTGAGGAGTCGGTTGAGCCCAGCGGCCCCTACGCAGAGCTGGTGGGTTGCCTCATGTACCTGATGACTTGCACTCGCCCAGATCTCGCATACCCTCTCAGCATCCTGGCTCGCTTTGTGGCCACTGGCAAACACCGACCGCAGCACTGGTCTGCCGCTAAGAGGGTTCTGCGTTATCTTGCTAGTACATTGGGCATGGGGTTAGTGCTAGGAGGACGCAGGCCAGTGGTCCTTACTGGACACACCGACGCTTCGTGGGCAGACGACGCCGAGACACTCAGGTCTACTCAGGGCTACTGCTTCAGCCTTGGCTCAGGTGCCGTCTCGTGGAGAGCTACCCGCTCCTCGTCTGTTGCCCAGTCCAGCTGTGAGGCCGAGATCTACGCTGGTGCCATGGCGGCACAGGAGCTCCGCTGGCTGACCTTCTTGCTCACTGACTTAGGTGAGCGGCCTAGCTCTGCCCCGGTCCTGTTCGCTGACAACAGGGCCATGATCCTCCTGTGTCAGGAGCCTCGACTCGAGGGCAGAGCGAAGCATATTCAGCTGCGATACTTCCTCCTGCGCGAGCTACAGCAGCGACGCCAGGCTCGTGTAGTACACTTGGCCTCAGGTGCCAACACAGCTGATATCTTACGAAGGCGCTTGCGCCTAAAGATCATCAGCGGCACTGCGTACAGATTGGTCTAGTCCCTGTAGCCTCTCACTTGCTAGGGCCTTGACTTTGTACTGCCCTTTTATATGTATACTCAGACTGGACTTGTGTCCTCTACCAGTGGCTGGACTAGTAGTGCCGCCCTGATCTTGTTCTTGCCTTGTCTGTACTCCTTCTGACTGGTCTTTTAGACCCTTGTCTCAGAGGTTGGACTAGTAGTGCCGCCCTGAGCTGCTTGTTCAGGACATTCCCCTATGCAGTCTAGGGGGTGTGTCAAATATGTGTATTAGTTATGTTTGCATAGACTGTATAGGGTCACCTCTTAGAGGGTACCATACTTAGGTATATCTATCTGTACTCTCCCACTACTCATCATTCACTTCTCTCATTTTGATAATCTGTCCTTCATTACCAAGGTTCGCTCAGCTGCAAAAAAACGAACACGATTAAAATCGCGTCAGCTGCCATTCGCAGCGCAAAGACGGGCAGAAGAATCAATACAAGTGGCAACATGAAATCGAAAGACAAAAAGTGTCGAGAGGATCTCGACCGTCCATCTTGCTGTTGAACCACCTCGATCGCGTCAGCAATGGTCGTGACTCTGTTCACAGCACTCATACGAGATTGGTCAACGACACCTGGCACTGCTGCAGCATCAATCTCCCACCGTTTTCAAAGGCACCAAACTGACCCTGTCAGAGTACGCAATCTCTGTAGCAGATTCCTCGTTAGCAGATGCTCGGTGAAGTTCTGGCCCCAGAGTGCGTGTTACAACCCAAATTCATTTTGCATTTTATATAAGACATGGGTGTTTTATTTTTCCAGCCTACTGTTAACACCCATACGTTTTTTTAATGAATTTTTGACAATACCATAGGGTGTTATATACGGGGGAATACGGTATACACTGGCGGAAACAATTGTCCACATGTTTACCACATTTTTACATTTTGACGAGCTGTACGCTATAAACATTAAGCCTTAATTCATGGTGGCCAATACACGTAGAGAGGAGCACTTAGAGCACTCACTCAAATCTCCTAAGACCAGAGTAGCATATCTCATGGTTGTTCAAGACGACAACATTTAATAACACCACATCCGGACAATTTGTACCGGGGACAGGCAGCAAACTAGTTACTAGCAAAACTAGTACCTAGTCAACCGACACTTGGCCTTGATCACCACCTACACCCTCCTAGGCATGTTGTCTAGGAGGTTAGTGCAAACCTTTACAGGGATCTTATCGCACTCTTCCTGGACCCACGCTTTTGCACTAGGGGGTGAGCACTAGGAAAATCGCGAAGTATTTGAACGTATGCAAGAGTACTGTGCACGATTTCATGTTCAATGTTATCTCTAAAACTAGCCATGCTGAGGTGTGGCCAAAGATGCAATTAGTCGTTTGGTCGCGTCTTATCATGGATCGTCTTCATCGTACCGTTGTAGGTAAAAATTACGAGCAGAGTGGCAAAAAATTGCGTATCTGCCACGAAACTTAGGGTAACATAGCACGGTTGACAGTGCATCCTTGCACTATTAGAATCACGCTAGGATCCGTAGGTCTCTGAGCGGTGCAGCAGTCGAAGTAGTCGTGACTGGTGGGGAAAAATATCCGGGTTGAGATCTGGTGAGGAGAAGGGTCTAGGGTAATGCCGAAGTTACACGAAACGACAATACCGACGATGCAGCAGTCGCAACAATTTCTCGAGGTTCCGAAAACGCGCCCACCTGAGCCGTTCGATCCGAGCGATCGAAATTCCGACGCCCGCAGATGGATCGCCTGCATGGAGATCTACTTCGCAGCCGTCGGATGGAGCTCGCCATTCTTGGACAGACAACGCGTACGACTCGCGGCGACACTGATGGGAGGACCGGCACTCGAGTGGATCGGCGGTAACAGTACCTTCATCCACGGCAAAGCCACGTGGCAGCAGTTCCGCACCGACCTGCTGAAACGTTTCGAGCCGATAAATTCGGGTTTCCTTGCCCAGAAAAAAATTCATCGCCATCGACAGTTCGGGAGTGTAGCGCAGTACACGCAGCAGATGGAGGAATTTTATAACCGCATTCCCGACCTAACCGAAGGGGAAAAAGTACAGTCGTACCTTGCCGAGCTGAAGACCGAAGTCAAATGACAAGTAGCAGCGACAAAATACGCGAGGTACAGTGACGTCGTTTCGGCAGCGAAACGCTTCGACATGGTTAACACTAGAACATGACGCGCGCACGTCGGCAGTACGCGACAGGGCGACCTCTCGGCTAACCCCACGTTCGCCGACCCGATGGAAGTCGACAGGTTCGAAGGGCGGCCACGTCCGAAAAACACCAATTTCATGTGTGATTTTTGCAGGGTGTCGGATCATCGAATCTTCGATTGCAACAAAATGAAAGCCGCACGCACTGAGTATCAGGCACGCAACAGTGACGGAAATCCTTCGGCCAATCAGAAGCCAAAAAATGGGACTCGCCGATGATTGCGGATCTAACTGGCGAAAAAGAAAAGATCCGAAAGCGGCCGCGGACTTCCGGAAAAATCAACTTCAACGCAGCTGATTCGACGCGAGCAGGAGAAAATGACGGGGAAAAATCTCCACCCCACGACCAGTCTTCGCCAGAGGAAATCGCCGAGGAAAAATCTACCTCCGCGAAAAAGGACTCTGCCAAGACGGGGTAACTCCGTGAAGACCCAAGAAATTATAAGGATTCGTTAAAGTTATCTTATAAAGATGCTTCAATGAAAATTTATGAGTCTCGAGGGGCTAGAGCCTTGGAGAAATTTCGGGAGGGACTCCAGAAGAAGCAGAATCTTGCGGAGATCATACCGGTACCAGAAAACTTGGGGACGAAATTAAGGAGTGTGGAAAGAAGCCGACCTTTCCACGGAGTCAACGTCCTCTCCCGACACCAGCCCACAGCGACCACTCGTTCCCCAGGGATGACGTCGGTGGAGTTGAAGCAGCTCAAGAGGAAGCCGGGGGTCTACAAGAAGTTGCAAAAACCCCGAACTCCTTCTTTTGATGCATCCAACTCGGAAACTTCGTCAACGACACGAATAGTCGTCACGGAAACTTCGGGCCCAGGAGAAGAGCCTTTCTCCAAGCAGCCTCGGCCAGCTGCCAGCTCAGGAGTAGGAAGCAACGAATATTGGGATGTACCCTATGACCCAATCAATGAAACTATCTTAAGGTACTCCGAGCAACGCTTGCCCCTCGTGCTCGAGGTCATCTGCAAAGGACGACGCCTCCAACCACTCGTGGATAGCGGAGCATCGCACACCGTATGCGACAAGGCAACCATCGACCGACTTCGAGAAGAGTACAAGCCATCAGCGTTTTCTCCAACGATGGTGGACGGCAGTAAGTTACCAGTGTAAGGCGAAGCAGTGCTACACCTACAAATCGGTCCACTGCGCTAGAAACCTGCTCTCCCCATCACCAACATAAAAGGGCTTGACTTGATCTTCGGGCTAGACTTCCTAAAACGATTCAACCCCGAGATCTACTGGGTAAACCGTACCGCAAGCATCTACAACAGAGGAAGGAGTGTCCAGCTACCCAAATGGAATGATACATGAGATATCCCAGTAGCGACGCTCGCCAGATTCGAGAAGAACGTGAAACGAACCAACACCGGGTTCCTGGCGTTAGTAACAAACGTGGAAAGGGACGAGGAGCAGACCTCGGAACCTCCAAGAGAAATCAAGGAAATACTGAAGGAGTTCAAAGACCTTCTTTCCGACGACCTCCCGGACGAGCTACCGCCATACCAAAGGCACCAACACGAGATCGTGGAGGAACCAGGTTCGAAACCGACCTTCCGAGCACCATATCGGCTCAGCCCCACAGAGCTAGCCGACATGAATAAGCAGATCGAGTATCTCCTCACCAAAGGACTCATCCGACCATCCACTTCACCATACGGTACCCCAGTACTCTTCACACCGAAACCGGACGGAAGCCTGCGCATGTGCATCGACTACCGAGCTCTCAACAAGCAGACCATTAAAAACAAATACCCGATTCCACGAATCGATGATCTGCTTGACCAGCTTCGGGGAGCCACGGTATTCTCAAAACTAGATCTGCGGTCCGGATACTGGCAGATAAGAATGACGGACGATTCCGGTCACAAAATTGCTTTCCGAACTCGGTACGGATCGTACTAGTAACAGGTAATGCCATTCGGACTCACCAATGCACCAGCAACGTTCCAAGCAGAAATGAATCATATTCTATTCCCACTCTTAGACGAATGCGTGGTGGTGTACCTGGACTACATTCTTGTCTACTCGCGCGATATGCAACAACACGTCGAGCACCTACGACGCGTCTTCGAGATTCTTCGACGAGAATGCTTCTACGTCAAACTGTCCAAGAGCGACTTCGCCCTCGAGAAAGCCCAATTCCTGGGACATATCGTAAGTGCTCAAGGAGTTCACGTCGGCCCCAAGAAAATCGAAGCCGTACGTACGTGGAAGACACCCGAGAACGTGAAGGAGTTACAGCAGTACCTTGGCTTCACTAACTACTACAACAGGTTCGTGCCACAATACGCGAAGATCGCCGCGCCACTCACGAATCTGCTAAAGAAGAACACGCCCTATAAATGGGAGCCACAACACCAGGAAGCCGTGGAGCTGCTGAAACAAGCACTCACGTCCGCACCCGTACTGATCTTGCCGGACCCCGAACGCGACTACGTCATCGAAGCTGACGCCAGCGACTAGGCAGTGGGAGCAGTCTTGATGCAAGACCAGGGGAATGGACTGCAACCAATTGCCTACCTCAGCAAAAAATTACACGGGGCAGAACTCAACTACCCGATACACGACAAGGAGGCTCTTGCTATCATCATCGCCCTCAAAACGTGGAGATGTTATCTCGAAGGACGCAAAACAACAGTCTACACCGACCATTGCAACCTAAAATATTTGAAGACGCAACCAAGCCTCTCCAGGCGACAGGTTCGGTGGATCGTCACCGCACAGACCACACCATCACCATGGGAGACCGAGTACTACTCGACACGCGCAATCTTGACATCAGCCATCTCCCATCCAAACAGCGACCTCGCTACTGTGGGCCTTTTCTCGTTGAAGCACAGGTCACTCCTGTTACCTTCCGCTTACGCCTGCCAGCTACCTGGAAGATTCACAACGCCTTCCATGTCCAACTCTTGAAGCCCTACCGAGATCCCAACACGGTCTTCTCTGGACGCCAACCGCCGCCGCCGCCGCCCGTCCTTGTCTATGATGAACCCGAGTACGAGGTCGAGTCCGTGCTTGCTCACCGCTATCAACGGAATGGCACCGTGGAGCTTCTCATCCATTGTAAGGGTTATGACCCTTCAAAGGATAGCTGGGTCTCTGAATCCAAGATGGATCACGCTCGTCGTCCTCTTCGCGACTACCTTGTCAAACAGGGTGTTACGTCTACCACCCAGCTTTGAGGGGGGGAAGTGTGAGAGTACGACCCCGTTCCATTCCTTTCTCCTTTCCATCTCCCCTTTCCATTTCATTCCTCTTTTTTATCTTGATTCATTTGGTATTTCTCTCATTCCATTTGGTTTATCATGTTATTATGATTATATCACCGACCAGGCTCGAGATGTGCCGGCGCGCTATTTCTAGTGTAATCCTGCCGTAATCCCTTAAAGCCAATAGCCTCGCGTGGCTATACTCAAGGTGGTTCTATTTTCTAGAAGGGTCTATTCCCTTGGGATAGGATAAACGTGGTTACCTGATGTACTTTGGAAGTATAAAAGCGCCTTGTATCACTCGATAGTGCAACCTTTCCTCGACACATTCGATCCCGTGACACACGTGGTTCACTTCTACATGGTATTCCGAGCTAGTGGAGTTACAGGTGTCAAAGTAGCTAGCTAGGAAGAGAAGCCATGGAATGGCGCGAGGGGTATAGGAAGGAGAAAATATCGAGAGAAGAGAGAGTTATTTGAGAAGAAGAGAGAGGGATACAAGAAGGGGGGTTGTATCCTCTATAGTAGGAGCCAATAACATCTACCAGGCCTACCATTATATATATCAAATATATAATTTAATAAACCCCCTAGGCTTGGTAGCTGAAAGCCCACCACACACAAAGCACACTAAGCCTCACACCCCTAAGCCTAGCACCCCCATACTCAGCAGCAGCGGCGGCTACTTCAGCAGGGTCAGCCCCTTGGTGCATGAGGCGGCGGCGTCAACAGCGAGGGCAGCGGCTGCAATGGCGGCAGCGTTGACAGCAGCGGCGGTGGCGGCGGCGGCGTGCTGCGGCGTGGCCAGCAGCACCAGCTGCGACGGTGGCGGCTTCGACGACAGCTGCCAGCGGCGGCGGAGCTCGCAGCACTTGGCGGCGTGGCCGGGCTCCGCGACAGTGGGACGGCCGGCACGAGTCAGCCGTCGGCTGCGGCGAGGAAAAGGAGACGTAGGGGAAGGTGGTGGGGCTTCAGCAGCGGAGCCCGGGAGCGTGTCGCCCCTTGTGGCATGCTGGCTACATGCGGGCGTACTGGCCAGCGCTAAGATGGGGCGCTAGCCGTTGCCGTCCGTGCCGCGCGCTGGCAGCACGTCACCACAGCAGCACGATGGCGCAGTCACGCCGCTACGGCTTGACGTCGATGCCACGACAGCACGACGCTACGGCAGCGCGTCGAGGCGGCCACGGCAGCGCGACGCGGCCGGCGGCATGACGACGCCGCCACAGCAGCACGACGACGCCGCCACATCAGCACGACGACGCCGCCACAGCAGCACGACGACGCTGCCACAGCAGCACGACGCGGCCGCCATGGCAGCGCGAGAGAGGGAGGAGGAGTGCGCGAGGGAAGCGTGATAAGCAGACCCAGGAAAAGCAACCTACTCTGATACCATGTCAAAGTAGCTAGCTAGGAAGAGAAGTCATGGAATGGCGTGAGGGTTTAGGAAGGAGAAAATGTCGAGAGAAAAGAGAACTTTGGAAAGAAGAGAGGGATACACGAAGGGGGGTTGTACCCCTACAGTAGGATGCAGTAACACCTACCAAGCCTACCATTATATATATCAAATATATAATTTAACAACAGGAACCGAAACAAGCTGATTTCGATTACGCGCTTAAAACCGAGGAAATCGCGCGCTTCGACGAAAATCAAGAATGGTTCAAAACGGACGACCTTTTTTGCGCGCGATGTATGGCATGCCCCCGTTACCCAAAATGGTCGACCCCCACCAGCTGTACCCGTTTTCGTCTTGATGTGCCGAATATTGGAAATATAATATTGGATCGCTGTGAAAACATTTGCGGATCAATTGTTGCTCGGACATGCATTTAATTCGTCGCGACAAAAATCCGCCCGTGCCTGCCTATCCCCTGCACCTGGCGTGGACGCACGTATTGGAGTCATTTGACTCTCGCAAGTGTCGGGGCTTACGTTTGGTTTTTGGGGCACCCATCAGATCCGGGTATCGGGCTAAAGCTACCTGTCAGAATCCGTGTTTAGCACTCTATTCTGTAAAAATTCACCTGTCAAATCCACGTTTCACAGCCATTGTTGCCAAAATTCACCCATCAGAATCTAGGTTCAAACCCTGTTTTTGGAAAAGTTCCCCGTCGGAATCCGAGTTCAGCGAAAACCTCACCCCCTATTTTGTCGAAATCTGGACGTTGTGCACAAAATGATTGCGCCTGCCTTTTTCGAATGCCGCAGCCCTTAAAACCCGCAGTCCAAATTGTTCATACGCACTCCATATAAACTTTGAGCCGAGGCCTCGACGAAATACACGGAAAAATCGTAAGGGTGTTTCATCTCGCGAATTCGCAATTTGTCGCAGGCCGTTAGATTTTCTTGCCACAGTGCGTCTCAGAGTAGAAAAGTTGACTAGAATGAGGCATACCGGTTGATTTCGTTCAAGTGGTTGTACCCTCTAAGAGCATGCACCTATCTATCCTATTATAATATATACAAATATGTTTGACACACCCCCTAGGCCAGATGAGGGGCAGTGCCTGGAAGTCGACACACAGTTCAGGGCGGCACTACTAGTCCGACCACTGGAAGAGAAGCCACAAGGACAGTAAGAAAGGTATATATAAAGAGAAGTACACAATCAAAGTCCTAGCAAGTGAGTAGCTACAGGAACTAGACCAAGCTGCAAACAGTGCCGCTGATGATCTTTAGGCGCAAGAGCCTTCGTAAAGATATCAGCTGTGTTAGCACCCGTGGACAAGTGTACTACGCGGGCCTGGCGACGTTGCTGTAGCTCGCGCAGGAGAAAGTACCGCAGCTGGATGTTCTTCGCTCTGCCCTCAAGTCGAGGCTCTTGACACAGGAGAATCATGGCCCTGTTGTCAGCGTACAGAGATGGGGCAGAGCTAGGCTGCTCACCTAAGTCTGTGAGCAAGAAAGTCAGCTAGCGGAGCTCCTGCGCCGCCATGGCACCAGCGTAGATCTTAGCCTCACAGCTAGACTGTGCAATAGACGACGAGCGGGTGGACCTCCACAAGACCGCGCCTGCACCAAGGCCAAAGCAGTAGCCCTGAGAGGACCTGTCTCAGCGGCGTCTGCCCAAGAAGCGTCAGTGTGCCCAGTTAGGACCACTGGTCTGCGTCCTACCAGTACTAGCCCCATGCCCGATGTGCTTGGTAGATAACGCAAAACCCTCTTAGCGGTTGACCAGTGATGTGGTCGGTGTCTGCTTGTGGCCACATAGCGAGCCAGGATGCTAAGAGGGTATGCGAGATCTGGATGAGTGCAAGTCATCAGGTACATGAGGCAACCCACCAGCTTTGCATAAGGACCACTGGGATCTACGTGTTAGGATTAAGGACAGAGTCTAGGTGAACTTAGGAGCTAGAATTACTCAAAATATAAATCCGAAATTCTGGACAGAAAAGTCGTCTTCACAAGAAACGACGTCGACAAAACACTAGCCGTTGGAATGTCGCGAAACTTGGATATGTTGTAGCTCTTGATCTCAGCTACCGTTCCCAATTTGAATCACGTTGATTGATGAAGTATTCGCGACGCTATGGCTTTCGACGCACTAGGGGGTAAGCTGTAGGAGGAGAACTTAACTCAATCTCAAGAGTTCAATGAAAGTTCAAGAATCTCACAAGGAATTTTTTTTTTTTTTTTTTTTTTTTTTTTTTTTTTTTTTTTTTTTTTTTTTTTTTTTTTTTTTTTTTTTTTTTTTTTTTTTTTTTTTTTTTTTTTTTTTTTTTTTTTTTTTTTTTTTTTTTTTTTTTTTTTTTTTCCCTTCCCAACCAATCCATCCAAGTTGGCCACCCTTGCCAACCTAGCTTGGTTGTTCCCAACCAATTTGCAGCTGTTACAGTGAGTGACAAATTTCCCAAACCCCCAAAGGTCCCAACTCCATATAGAGTCACCCCACAACTTCACTTTGTAACCGCCGCAATTGTAACGCAAGCTCATGAACTTTGAATCTTCATAGCTTTCGCGTTCTTGCTCCGATTGAAGGGATTCTCGTTGCGTCGGAAAGATCTTCTCAAGATCTATCATCACAAAAAACCTGCTCAAACAAAATAACACAAAACACATTCCCAAACTCCAGAACACATCACACACAAATTCTTGCACACGTTCAAACCACACATGCAAGTTGAAAAAATATGGGATGGGAGGCAGACAGAATGTGATAGCATATGATGACATCACACAACAATCTCCCCCTCTGGCTGCCAACCATCATCCACCATACCAACATCTCAAGCATGCATACTCAATGCACACTCATCCCAGCAAGCTTCATGCCCTTCCAATGATCCGCCTCCGCCAGACGCTTGGTGAAAATATCTGCTGCCTGCTGATGGGTCTTCACTATCTCCAGCCGCACCTCCTTATCAAGGAGTCTCCTCACCCAATGCCACTTAGGCCTTATGTGTTTTGTCGACGTCGTTTCTTGTGAAGACGACTTTTCTGTCCAGAATTTCGGATTTATATTTTGAGTAATTCTAGCTCCTAAGTTCACCTAGACTCTGTCCTTAATCCTAACAAGTGGTATCAGAGCGATATTAAGGACATTGAGAGGAGTCTACAGAAGTGTGAAGACCCTTCTAGACCCACCATGGCCTGTGGGTGTGCCTAAGTGGTGTTCTAAAGGTTGGATGTGTCTTCCGCTAAGGGGAAACTCTGCCGAAATTTCGTGGACGCCGACACTTGTGAAAATATCGAGGGAGCTGAGTGTGGACAGCAAAGGGGAGCTGAAATTCGTCATTTCTCAAGGAGAAGATGAATGAGAGAGGAGGAGATGCTAATGGAAGAGGAGCTGTAGCTGAGAAGACAAGTGAGCCGCCGCCATCAAAAGTTGAAGCTTTGGATGGCTCCAACTATGAGGAATGGAGCGGACGGATGAGGAGTGCCTTCAAACGCTACAAGCTCCTGAAGATTGCTGTTGGGGAAGAGAAGATGCCGGAAGAAGGCGAAGCACGTGAACGGTGGATTGAGAAAAGCGCGGTGCTTTTCGACCTCATTCTTCAATCGGTCAACAAGGAGATGTTCGAGCACATCAAGGATCTTGTGGAAGCGGATGATTCGGGTCCAAGGGCGTGGAAACTACTACGTGATGTGGTTCAGCCCAACACTCTCCCGATGGTGATCGTGCTCGAGAAGGAACTTGCTGCCATCTCCATGCGACCAGGGGACGATGTGAAGCCGGTCCTTGACAAGATCAAGGACACCTATGCAAGGATGGCAGCAGCGGGCAGCAGTGTATCTCAGCTGCAGCAGTGCACCAAGATCATCTCGGTGTTGGACAACTCGTGGGATAACCTCATCCCCACCCTCAACTCTCAGCAAGATCAATGGACACCTGAGTGGCTAAGGCAGCAGATTCTGCAGGAGGACTTCCGCAGACGCCATGTGGGAGGCGGTGCTGCCACTAAGACTGCTGAGGGGTATGGAGCTGCAGGGCGCGGCAGAGGAAGAGGGGGTTGGAAAGGCCGAGGCCGTGGGAGGAGCTTTGGCAGAGGTAGAGGCCGAGGTGACTATAATGAGGGGCATGGGAGCTCTAGTGGCAGGGGGAGTACCAGAATGGAGGGCACGTGCTGGTACTGCAAGAAGGTTGGGCATCCTTGGTTCAAGTGCTTCAGCAGGCTGGAGGGATGGGCACCTCCAGGCATGAAGCCGCCCAGTGGTGAACGCGCACAAGGTGGCGCTGTGCAAGGCTCAGGTGCACAAGGTGAAGGTGCACAAGGTAATGCCTATCCTGGTTTGTTTCTTATGGTTGAGGATGTGCATGGGCATGAGGGTGATGTGGGATTTGTGGGAAAGGTTGTGATGCACCCTCTCACGCACTGGGTGATTGATTCGGGTTGCACCAGTCACATGACCCCACGGGCAGATTTGCTTGATGAGGTAAAACCCCCTGGGAAGATTAAGTATGTGGCAGCAGCGTCAGGTGCTTTGCTCCCCGTGATTGGTGTTGGGAATGCCAAGGTTAAGGGAGCTAATGGGGAGCTTGTGGGGCTTGGGAATGTTCTGCTGGTTAAAGGCTTGTCTGCTAACCTTCTCTCTGTGCGGCGGCTGCAGAAGAGTAAGGCCGAAGTGACCTTTGGACCAACCAGCTGCCGTGCTAAGCTTGGGAAGAAGGTGCTGTGGAGTCTGGAAGAGGAGACCAGCTGCATCAAGGACCTGTGGCAGCTGCCCATCATCCCTTGGAATGGGAAGACTCCAACAGCAGCAACGGCAGCAGCGGCAAAGGCAACAGCAGGAGGAGATGCAACTGCACCAACTGATGGGGTCCTGGAAGCAGTCAAGAAAGTGCAGCAGCAGCAGACACATGGTGAGGTGCTTGCTGGTGTGGATGCGAGTGCGGCATGGGCTAAGGCTTCATCAAGGAGTGGAGAGGCCGATTGGGAGACATGGCATGAGAGGCTGTGTCATGTGAACTTCCCTATGCTGCAGAAGTTGGTGAAGGATGGGAGCCTGAAGGGCTTGGAGGTGAAAGGGGGAGTGAAGGAGATTGGGAGCTGCCCTACATGCTTGGAGACCAAGTTCTCCAAGTTCCCCTTCAACAGCACTACAGGACCAGCCAAGACCCCACTTGCACTTGTGCACATGGATGTGGTGGGGCCCACAAGAGCCCCTTCCCTCTCAGGCAGCCGCTATTTCTTGACAATTGTGGATGACCACACTCGAGCAGTGTGGGTTTACCCTTTGAACAGCAAGGGGGAGGTGGCAGCGGCTGTCCTTAAGGAGTGGATGCCGAGAGCTCAGAGGGAATGCGGACACAAGGTGAAGGTGATCCGTAGTGACAATGGTGGGGAGTTCATTGGATATATATTTTGAGTAATTCTAGCTCCTAAGTTCACCTAGACTCCGTCCTTAATTCTAACACTACGGACTCCTCTGGAACATGAGTTGAGAGCCTGTGGTCTACTAGTAGAAGTGTAGGCTGTGCTGAGGAGAACTTAAGACCGAACCTCTGAAGGACTTGGCGCACCAAGTGTGACTCTGTAAGAGTGATGGTGCACGCTGCTCTGT